TTCTCATTCCTAGAACCATGAGACTGTTCAGCAGACAGTCGCATATTATGCTAGAGTGAGGGAGATGTACATCTGGTTCTGTTGCCATTTTACTTTATAACATTGGTGCTTGTTATCTGAACAAAAGTGAGAAATCATTTTCCAGCAGTGCCAAGGCTATCCTAATTAGCAGGAAGAACCATTTGACCAGATGGGAAGTGTTCTCTTGAATTCAGAAATGAAATAAGAGGAAATACTCTCTTCTAAGTTTTGGACATTCGTAATTTAGACAGCTGCATTTGAGCTAGTCATTCAGAGCTCTTCATAATCACATAGAGAATTAAGATCTTCCTTCATCTCATTGTTAGATGGGTGGCTAAGAAAAGGTTAATATGACTTGTCTCCTTATAACCTCACTTTATTTCTGTTGACTGCAATGAGACTTTTGACAGATAACACATGAAAATACAGACAGATGAATGCCCCTGAAGATATGTGTGTTTTGTGCAGACAATCCAGAATATCTCCTTTTAGTGAATTGGGACAGATGCTTTTACTTCGCAGTGAAAGTTTGTTGAGAACGCCCACTATTTGCTGTCAGCAAGTCTTAAAGCTATAAGATCGTTTTGTTCTGCAATCCCTCCATTTCGATGAGGTCACTGTATACACTCTTATGCCCTTCTGAGGTCTAAGCATTGCTCTTGGCTGGGTTGAAGGAACCACCTGCACACTCTTACCAACTCTACTCCTGTGCGTATTTGCCTGTTCTCACCTCCTCACCTAAAAATAGGATGTTAAGATGCTTTTACTTAGATTGTAGTTCAACTCAGAAATAGCATGAAACTTCCTTTTATTCATAAGTTTTTTTTCATTAAGAATACAGTTTTCTAATACTCCCTGATTTTCTTATACTTTTAATTTTTTTTTTTTTAATTAAGCATACTCTTAAGTGTCTCTGCAGCAGTGCTCAGCTCACCTTCATTCATGTTCTCAGAACTTTTGGTTTTCCACCATTTCTTACAATTTGGCTCAGCTGCATTACTGAATTTCTTTTCTGAAGCTGAATTTGTTTACAATGGCTGATTGTCCAAATAATCCCGTAGAGGTAAAGGGACAGTGTAAGACAGACCTCTCCTCTTTTCATATATTGCTTGTGTGTGGCTTTTTTCCTCTTACACCACCTAACATGCCAGATGCAAAGTAATTTTACTGAGGAGGTGTTTTTTTAAGGGTGCAGTCTCCCATTTATACCACTTAAGAATAGATGTTGAAGTATCAACACAGAAATACTTGGCTGAAATTGAGAATATAATTTTAGGTGTTTAAAAATCCAGAGAAAACACATTTATTGCTTATGTTTGTAGCAGTGTTGGATGCAACTTCTGTTCTAATTTTGCAGTGTTTTATTTCTCAAACTATTTTTTTTCCCCCCCTGCTTATTTTTCCTAATCTACATTGATATGGATGAATGCTCTGGAAAAACGCTCTTGAATATTTGCCTTCACTTGTGTGTTCCCGTCACTTGAGAATAACTTGAGCCTTTATTCTAATGCAATCAGAGAAATTAATGCTGCAGGGTCAAAGAAAGGTATTTTAAATCGGTGTGAATTAATGTAAGAAAGTGCCTTTGTAAGAACACTACATTTTCAAACCCAAACTGGCATAAAATGCATAGGAGAATATCAGCATTTTAATGAATTCCTCTATTAAGTCACCATCTTGAAGTACTTGAATTCTACAAGGGATTATATTTCCGCTTTCAATAAATGAAGTATAGGTGT